GGCGTTATAAATAAATAAAAATTAAAATAACATAATAAATTAAAAAGAATCGGTTTTATTAAAAAAACGGTATTTAAAATAAAATCTTAATTTAATTTTTAAATAATAAAGCTAATAATAAAATAATAATTATATTTTTTATAATAACTTAGCTAATAAATCTTTAATTAAATTACTATATAATCAAAAATTATTAATTTTATAAAATTAATTAATATTAAAATAATTATCGATAAAAAAAAAATAATAATATATTTATATATTTACGTTTTAAAAAATAAATTACGTTATTAAAACTATATTTTATAATTTAATAGCGTAAATTGCGCCGGGGTTTAATTATTAAAAATAATATACGTTAATATTAAATATAAAAATTATAATAATAAAAGAAATTTAAAATAAAGAGAATACATAAGAATAGACCGGTAGAATTTAAATATATTAATAATAAAATTTTAGGTTAATTAGGATAATAGATATATATATTATTATAAAGTATATGCCTCTATATTAATTTTATATGCCTCTATATTAATTCCTTATAATAATTATAAAAAAACTAAATATAATATATAAAATATTAAATAATTTAAAAAACTTTTAAAAAAAAGGTTAATAAGTAGTTTTAATTTATTTTATATAATATAACTTTATTTATTTATACAAATAGTAGGAAGGAATTTAAAAATAGCCCGCTTGTTACAATAGCCCGCTTATTATATAAGTAAGTTATATAATATTATAATAAACGGATAATATTTCTAAAAAGAAATTTCGAAAATCTTTAATTATATTAACGATCCCGTTTTATATTAATTAAAATAGACGGGATATTTATTACGGGCCGTTTATTAGTATTTTAATAATAATATATATATATTTTTACGTTTCTTACTTTTAAATTAATTATTATTAATTAACCTATAATTTAGAAATTTTGTAAGTCTATAACTTACTATTCGAGATTATAAATATTTATTTTAAGTTTTTTTTTTATATTTCGTTATATAATTAAAAATATTAATTTCGTAGTATTTAAATATAGGTTTCTTAATATCATTTAATATTACGGTTAATTAATTATAGTAAAAGTTAATATTGATAAAAATCAAGGCTACGATATTTATAAATAATAATCGTTATAAAAATAGCTTTAAAAAAGCTATTTTTTATAAATTATAGAAGGAATAAGGCTTTAATAATTAATTATAATCTTATTAAATAAGTTTTTAATAAAAATAACTAAAGGCGATTATAAGATTTAATATAAAATATTACGACTTAATATATATATAAAACCAAAGCCTTACGTTACTATCTTACGGCGGCTATTTTACTCTATATATAATTAACGTATATACATAGCGAGTCGCCCATCATAACGAGTCGCCTACTTCTAAATACCCTCCTACTATTTATATAAATTAATTAAGCTATATTATATAAAATTAATTAAAATTACTCATCAGCTTCTTTTTTAAAAATCTCTTAAACTACTTAATATATTTATATATTATATCTAATCTTTCCGTAATTACTATATTACCGCCTATACGATTTAACCCTTTTCATACGAATATCTTTTTAATATATATTTTTATTTTTAATATTAATAACCCTTTTTTTTATTTAGATTACCTTGGCCTTAATAATATTAAATAAGCTTTTAAAACGTAATTATATTTTTTTAACCCTCCGACGCTTATTTAATATTTTATTTATTATATAAAGCCTACGGTACTTAGTTTTAATAAAAGCTAGTTTATATATTAATTTATTAATACCTTTAGTTTATAAATTAATAACTTCGTATAAATATATTAATAAACTATATTAATAATTATAAATCCGTTTTTTAAATAAAATAAAGCTTTATACGGCGTTATATATTATAATTAATATCTTTAGGTCCTAAAAGCCCTAGTTATTTAAACGTAAATTAAATAGTATTAGTATTTTTAACTTAAAATCTAAGCGGGAAATAACTATTTTTAAATTAAAAAATATAATTCTAGCTTATTTAAAACTAATTTATACGTTTTCTTTGCCTATTAAAATAAAAAAAGCTATTTTAAAAATAAAAAAAAAGTCGTCTTTAATAATATATATAATTTATATCCGTATTATCTTTTTAATTTTTTTACTATATAAAGCTTTTAATAAATTAAAATAATTAATATTAAAAAGCTAAAGCTCGTATAATAAATAAAAAAGTATATAAAAAGTAATAATACTATACTCTTTATAATAATTATCGAATTTAATTAATTTATAATTATTATAATTATTAAAGATTAAGAGCCGCTTAATACCTTTCGTACGAAATTTTATATATTTTTTAAAATATTCTAACTAATCTAAGCCGATTTTATTTATAATTTATTTATTTTTATTAAAATAGATACGTTATTTAGAAAGGAATTAGTTATTAATATATTATAAAAAAATAATATTTACTTTTTATAATAACGTATAAAAGTAGCGTTTAGTTATCCGTATATATACCCTAAATAATAAAAACCTATTTTTAATTATTAAGCTATTTTATACGAAGCTTTCTATAATAATTAAAAGTTATAATAACTTTTATATATAAAAGTATTCTTATTAAAAAGCCCGTTTTATTAAAATTATAAATATTATAATCGTATATTCCGTATTTTGTAATTGTATTTTATACGAAGGTAAATTAAGTTTAAATAATTATAAAATCCTTAATTAATACTTTTTAATAATTAATTCTATATCGAAAATACGTTTTTAATTATAATTAATATTATATAAAGTTTTCTATTTATCGCGATTTAATATACGTCGCGTTGCGTTTATTAAAAAAGTAATCGGTTATATCTCGTACGTTATTAAATTGTAATAAAAATCCTCAATTAATTAAATTAATAACTCGTTTGAAAATTATAATTTTTTCTAAAAAAATTATTTTTTTTAAATTCGTACGAGTTTTATATTAAAATAATAAACTAGTACGTCGGTCGTAAAATATTATTTTTAAAATATTATAAATAAAAGCTACTTTTCGTACGGATAAATTTAAATCTTTTTTAATAACTTAAAATATAAAAATAATACGACTTTTATTTAAAGAAGAATTTATAATCGTACGTAAAGAAAAATAGTTATTAAAATAAAAGGTATAAAAGGAAAAAAAAATAGGCGACTCGCTATAATAGGCGACTTGTTATGCATATACGTTAATATAAAAAAATATATATTTCTTTTATAAATTAGAAGAGTTATAAAGAAGACATTTATAAATAAAATAAATTAATAAACGCTTGTGATAAAGTTATAAATACTTATAATTAAATATAAGCGCTTATAAATTCTACTAAATACTCACTACCTTATTTAAGTAATTATTAATAAAAAAATACTTAAGAACGGGATTTATATATAATATAGCCTTAAGTAAGGGTTTAAAAATAAACTCTTATAGCTTTTTTAATAATTAACTTTATATTAAATCTTATAATTACTTTGAGTTATCTTTATTTAAAACTTATTTAAAACTGCGATTAATTATTAAAGTTTTACTTACTTTACGACTTATAAATAATAACTTTGTTAAAACTATTTTTATAATAATTATTACTTATAAATATTAAAGCTTTAACTTTTATTAATATAAACTTTATTATAATTAGTTAACTGTAATATTTTTATAACTTTTATTTAATAAGTTAATTTTATAAAAACTTATTGAATAATATAAATAATTTTTATTAAATTTTCTTTTATAAACAGAATCGTAACGTTTTTAATTTTACTTTTTTTAAAAATTTTTTAATTAACTTTTGAAAAGAAATCCTTAGTAAAAACTTAAATTATAAATTTTTTTTTAATTAATTATTAAAGTATTTTATTATAATAATATTTTAATATATTATTATTCTATTATACTAAACTTATATTTAATTTTATATAGCTTTATTTTAACAATTTTAATTATATTAATTATTTTTAATTTATTTTAGTTTTATTTTAGCTTTACTTTGACCTTACCCGGGCCTTACCCTGAACTCACCTAGGCCATCGCGGAAGGTGAGTAAAAGTAGCGAAACTCACCTAGTTCACCCTTTTGGCTAAGGGGGTGACGTCCTGAAGAAGCTACGAATGTCGATTTCATGGAATGGCAACACTCCTGGCAAAAATGAGACTCTCGAATTGTACCCGCTTGCTTAGCCTAAATTTCGCTTGATTATGATCTGACCTGGCTCGGCAACGACAATCTTGAAGAAAAGTGAGGCACAGCTAATATGGGTCGCTATGGGCCGCTGGGAGTGGACTTTGCCAACGCACCAACACACCTTTCCGTCAGAGACGGAACCCTGGACCCCATGGAAAATTGCATACTGGGCACAGGCATATACGAAGCCGCCCCACAAGTTATCCGTTCCAGCAGGCAGACGTTCCAAAAGTCCACTCGGGACCCAAGAAATTCTTTCCGTCGTAGAACAAACTTCATAGTTATGTTCATAGGGACCAAGTAACCACAGTAATATTCAGACATTGTTTCCCGTGTTTTCATTTCTCCATATCAGTGCAAAATAGCGCGGACATAGCACAATAATCGTTGCAATCTTCAAGTCCATGGATCTTTCCTTGCGATGGCAATGGGACTACAGAAGGCTACTTGGCGATAATATTCGCTGCCTAGAAGCTTCAATAGTAATTCACACATTCCTATTTGAGCCTAGACCGAAGATAATGGTCATGATGGTGGGTCTGTTCATGAGTTCATGGGAGCTAGACTATGGCCTCACACATTTAGTCACGTAAGGGGCACAGCGGGCGGCTAAGCTCATTATCCCAGCCAACGAAGATCAGAGTGATAATGATCCAGGCCTTCTTTTACAAGTATATAAAGCCAGTATTGTCTGCCGTCGGAATGCTCAGACTTTCTTCATTATCAATCCCATCGTAATACATATTCCCAGCCCTCTAGCAACATCTCCCAAGCCAAACATACAGCATTCACCATGCAGCTCAGCACTGCCCTCATCTCTGTCGGTCTCCTTGTCACAGCTCCCCTTATTGCTGCCGACAACTGCAATGCGCCCCTCGACTACTGCGGCTCCAGCCTACTGAAGAAGGGTTAGTCGACCACCAGTTCCCTGGACTTCTCTCGCAGAGTTCTTTTCTATATCATGCTCATCACTCTCTTGACAGGCAATTACAGAGACCAAATCCTTCAAGCTCTCCTCGTTTCTGGTCAGTCAACTGACTACAATCACATCAACTACTCTCTCTTCAACTGTCTCGGCGGCGAGGGCGGTGCCATCAAGTTCATTACCTTCTGCGGAGGCAGCTGTAAGGATAACGGTCAGGGCAAGAGCGACAAATGCTAAGCCCCTCGCTTTGATTCTTGGCCTTGATAGTCCCTGACTTTGCAGGGACAATTAGAGCACATGGGATTGCTCGATTCACATCTGTCGAATAATAGGATGTGGGAAATTTGGGTTGTGCTGTCATGAAGCACGGATGAGCTCATAGATCGTTGGCTTTGAGCTGTTTTAGTTTCGCAATACAAAGACACAGTAACCCCCATGCTGTATTCTGTGACCCTAACATATGTACATATGTTGGGAACTAGACAATCCAATTACATGCAGGAGTACCCTTGATTAATGAGTGGCATGCAGCGGTGGAATTAAGATTTAAATCAATGACAAGCTTGCGTGTAGGAGTCATATCTAAAGTTTTGCTGTCCAGGAAGTGCTTTTTAGCTATCCGGGAGATGGTCCACCTATTTTTAGCTCCGGCCAATGAGAGCGCTCGGGGTCCCTAATGGACGTCGTTATCTCGATTTTCCAGTCGTTTTGGTCGCATTTCTCGACAAAGAAGACGGCGCTTTCGCGCTTGCGCTCATGATGAGAGCGTCAGCGCCCCATCAACAGAAATTCTAAGCTTGAATCACTGGACGGTGCTCCTGAAAACTCTTCTCCATCTCTGACTTTAAAAATGGTGAGGGGAATCGCCTCGGAGTACACTGCAGCCGCGCGGCACCTGCCCGAATCCGAACGCAGGGAGATGGCTTCTTGGCTCCCGGGCTCTGTCGCTCGACTCCGCGACAACAACGACCACGATAACAAACATGCGCTTCGTCGTCAGATTAAGGCATTTCTATATCGGTGCCCGAGACCAGAGAGAAGGAATGAAGAGGAAGAATTGATGTATCTTGATGGTCAGTAGTTAGTACTTCAGTACCCACGTCATAATTACCATTCTCACCCTGTCATATGAGAGCTTATGTCATTACGAGGTTAATCTCCTCGCCTTTTGGTTGAGGGAATGAGGGAATCAACAAGTTCAAGTTGAAAGGCGGGCGCTCTGAGGCTCGTCTCAACCCAGTGCTTGCGGTGATATTAATGCACTCCTCATAGCACGGCGTCGTTATTGGAGTGAATGGATCTCCGATATTTTGCCGACTGCTAACATTTCCGATCTTATAGGCAGCTATCAGATCATCGGCAGCTACGATAGCGCACAGCCTCGCTGCATCGCAGCACGAGCTTCCTCGAGAGACATGATTCCTATAGGACAAGTTACTAATATTTTTACAACCACAACAGCGGAGGGCACCCCATATTCACAATAATGGATCGTATTGAGGCTTGCTAGGCGGTAACCGTTAGTGCCAAATTGTAGATTCAACGCAATTCTCGATTGGAGGATGATATGGGGCTTTCCCCTTTACTCCGTGTCTGTCTCCAGCAAGCCTAAGAATGCATTATTAAGAGGCGGTAGGAATGCGGAACTATGTGTGTATAATGTTTACGCTGCTTGTGAGCCTACTAGGGACGAGTGTATATTTACTTTTTGTCGTCCGATTATACGGGATATACTTCGTGGGCCGTGTATTTATACCCGGTAGGCCGCCTGCTTTAAATATATACGTATTTGATAGTAAGCCGTAAATTCGGCTTTTTTGGTTTGCTTATATTAAGTAGATAAAAGCCCGTTTTAACGTACTCGTGACGGCCAGCTAGTTATAGGGTAGTAAGTTAATAGAAGTTAAGGCTACGAATAATTGCTAAGTAGTGTTCGTAGTCGGAATAATATTGCGAGTTATGTTTGTAAGTCGTAAGGCTTTAGTAATTAATTATCGTTTTGTTAAGTGAGGTTCTTAATATAAGTAAGCTAAAAACTATATTAAGATTTAATATAAAATAAATTGCTAAAGAAGCTACGGAACTTATCCTTAAGCCCGGCTCGAGTTTATACTTTTGTCGGATTAGAAGCTTAATTCGACCTTGAGTCAGCGCCAGCGCAAAGGCCATCTAAGGGTCTTTATATTAGCGTTTGACCGGCGATTTAACCCACGGTTGAAACCTTTTTTTTCTACTTTACGTAGAGATTAATATAAAAATAATTAACTTTTCGTGACTACGGTTCGATTAAATAAATTACTTTATAATTACATAAACTAATATTAATTAATAATTAACCTATTATTATAAATTAATAAAGTTATTAAAAAAATAAAAAAAATAAACTTTTATATCGAATAGGATAAAAAAATCGCGTTATCTTAACCTTTTATAAAAATTAAAAAAATAACTTTTTAAAACCGGACGGAATAAAAGTTTTATAATTTTTTTAATTTTTATTAAAAAAGAAGCGTTTATTACGTTAATAACGCTTTTAAACGGTTTATTAATAGAACCGTTTAAATTAACTATTAAACGTTAAAAAAATCTTTTTTTATACCTTTTTTAGTTTTAAAAAACCCTTTTTTTTAAACTTTTTTTTTATTTTTTATAATAAATATATAAATTTATAAATTTTATATTTATATTAACCGTAATCGAATTATATAATATTAATACTTATTTTATAACTTACAAAATATAAATATAAAATAAAAATATAAAAAGTAAATTACGTAATTTATTTAATTTTATAAACGTAAAAAACAAGCCTTTAATAAAAATATATTAAAACGCCGTGCAATTAAGATTTAAAAAAATCTTTTAAATAGATTTTATTTAATAAATATAAAACAAACCTTATAAAATCTTATTTAATTTACCTTTTTTTTTAAATTTTTTTATTACTTTTTAAAATAAATAAACGGAATACTACCTTAACGACGATTTATAAATAAAAACGAGGCTATTATAAAATTTCTAAACTTAACTAGCCTATTATAAGCATTTGCCGTATAAAAATAAAAAAGAAATTAAAAACGGGTTTAAAACGTATTTTCTTATACTTTTCGAAAGGAAATAAATTACCAAATAATAATAATCCATTTAATAAATATATACGCCTCCCGGGTATTTATTTAAAAAGAAACGTAGGTATTTAAAACGTTGTTAAATTATTTATATTTACTATAATAAAATATAATAAAACCGTTTAAATTAAATAAAAGGAATTTATAATAGTAAGAAACGGCGTTAAAAACCTATTTATAAAATAAAAAATAAATATAAAGAATATTACGAAGTAAACCTAAAATATAGGAACCTATTTAACCTTTAATAACGAGTTAAGTAACGATAGGAAGCTGCCGCCGCTGTTTTTAAACGGGTTAAATTTTAGCATATTAAAAGCCTATATAAAGATTACTTTAAGTTCGAATATAGGCTATAACTTAACTTTTAATAAATTAAAATAATTAGCGCGAATAAAGGTACTTATACTTAATTAATAAATAACTAACCGTATCTAAGCTTATTAAAACGATTAAGTATATAATACGAAAAACGATTTAAACAGCAACTAAATTAATACGGCCTTACTCTTTTTAATTTAAATATACTAATAAAAACAAATCTTTAAATAGCACTTATTTCACTACGCAAATAATAATATTAGTAAATAACTAAACGATTAATTTAAATTAATAAACGAACGGATTATTACGGAATTTAATAAACTTTTTTATTATAATAAGGTATTACTAAACTAAACCTTAGTAAAGGACCTTTATAAAACTTTTATAATAACGGTAAAAATAATAGATTTTATATTTTAGTTTTAAACGTAAGTTAACTAGGCCGCTAGCCGGTTTTAGTAGTTTATTTAATAAATTAAAAGGCTTAAATTCTTATTTAAAATTATAAACGGAGCTATCTCGACTTTAAAATCTATATTAAATAAAAAAATATAATTAAAAATAAAGTTATTATTGTTTTTATAAACTTTTATTATAATTAACGGATCGTTAGTAAGAATAAAGCTATTTAGCTTTATTTAATTAAATATAAATATTAAATGACGATTAATACATTATAATTAACGCGGCTTTAAATTTTATTTTAAACCGGTTATAAAAGTCTAAACTTAAAAGCGGCTAATATACGGTAATTAACCGATTTAAATAAGATTTTTTTTTTAAAAAAAGAAGTACTTAAAAAGAAAATATAAAGTTTTATAACAAACTTTAATTATATTTTATAATTATTTTAAAAAAACCGGGATTTAAAATTATTAAGATTATTTAGTAATTATTATTGTTTTTATTAAAAAAGTTAAGGAATATTATTATTAAGTTATATATATAATAATCGATCGGAACGATTTTATTATAATTATTAACGCTTTTTAAAACCGTTTTAAAACATTAGATCGAAGCTTAAGGCTTTTTATTAAACTTAAAATTTTATTATTTAGATCGATAATAAGAGAGATAAAAAGTAAATTAAAAATAAATTTTTTTAAAAAGCTTATTTATAGATTAATAGGTTTAATAAAACCTAATTAATAAAAAGAATCGATAAATAAAAAGTCGGTTATTTATTAATTATAATTTAATAAATTAATAAGGTAAAATACGTTTTATAAAACTATTTTAACGATTATAAGGCGCTTTATTTTTAATTTAAAACTAATTTTAATATTGATTTTTGTTAAAATAGTAAATACGTTCACCTTTTTATTTACCTTATTTAACAGTATTATATAAGCAAACTATATATTATATGAATTTACGGAAAATATAAATTAATATTAATATTAATTATATAAGCAAAACTGTTTATATAAGCTTACGTAAGTGATCGAATATATTAGAAATTAACGTAACGCTTTCGAGCTTTCTTTTTATAGGATTACGTATTACGATTACGTAATCACTTATAAATACGCTTATTAATTCGATCTTTATTAACAAGCCATGGAATATTCTAGTAAAAGGTTTTTATATTTATATAAAGGCGTAGTTTTACTTACTTAGACCTTTCTTTAAATAAGTAACTCCTTATATAGTAATTTAAATATATTACTCTTTTTACTTTTCAAAGACTTTAGTTATTTACGTATTACTACCCTTTTATTTATATATTCTTATTTCTATATAAATATTATATATTCTTATCTTTTTATAAGGATATATTTGTCT